GGAGGGGGGAGAGAGGTGGTGAGGGGGGGCAAGGTGGTGTGGAAGAGAGAAGGGAGGGCGTGGGCTCTGGCTTCGGGGCTGGGACTGGTGAGGTGATCGCTATTGAACCCACTGTGAGAAACAATGATTGTGGTGGATGGTGCCCTTGGGTCATTTACATATAAAACGTGTTATCATGGTCCCTTTGCAAGCTTAACACCTGTGGGAAGATAAGTGTCTGGAAGATCAGGCCATAGGAAACCTCAAGTTCAAGTTTCGGGACTCCCGGCAGCTGGAGGTTTTTCAGTAATGGCTCAGGGCCTCTGTTTCTTCCAGGACATCACAGCACAGGATGGGTCAGGGTGAACTGCTGGCCTTTACCTTGAAAACCGGGCGTCGGGGTCAGGAATGAGAAGGAGGGGCGGGGTTTGGGGAGACCGGTGGAGAAAGGGGACAGCGACCTGGGGCGGGTGTGCATTCCTGCAGGCTGAGGAGCCGCCAGAGGCCCCGATGGTCCCCTCTGAAGCACCCGACTCGGTCACCGCGGTTCTGTGACTTCCCGCTCTTAGCGCACTGCACAGGGTGACGCGGAGGCCTTTACCTGCCTCTCGAGGGGACTTCATGCTCCAGTGATGTGCACACAGCCAGGCAGGGTCCCGCACACCCCCGCAGACCCCGGGACAGGCACAGGGCGGCTGGCCGAGAGCCTGGAAAGCACTTCACAGGCCGCGGGGAAACAGTGATTCCAAATACAGTTGTCTTCAAAGTGGTGGTGACTCGGAAGCACAGCAGATACCAAGCAGGGTACATATTGGCTTAGCCCATGGCTATGTTTTCATATTAAAAATTAATTCAGCCCCGGCCGACGTGGCTCAGCGGGTTGGGCATCGTCAGTGAACCAAAAGGTCCCCAGTTCAATTCCCAGTCAGGGCCCAGGCCCAGGTTGTGAGCTGGATCCCCAGCTGGGGTGCCCGTGGGAGGCAACCGATTGATGTTCCTCTCTCTCCCCCTCTCCTTCCTCTCTTTAAAAATCAATAAAAACATTAAAACAATAAAAAATAAAAATGAACTTAATTATAATGAAAACAAATACTTCATAAATATTTTCCGAACGCCAATTATGTGCCTGCTTCTGTTCTAGATACTGTGATACTAAGACAGGGTCGATATTCCTGTTCATCCAGGTCTATGATAATACCAAGTGCTTTAAAACCCTTGCTTTACATAGGAAAGTTCAGAATTCTCAGGCATCGTTTATTCACAAGTATTACATCCGTGACTAGAGGAACCATGCCGTGCTCTGTAAACTCACTTCTTTGGGATGTTCTAGCTACTTTGGTAAATCCGTAATCCTATTGTGTGGAAGACAGTCTTCCAGGGGCAAGAAGAGTACTTTAAACATCTCATGTTAAAATTCATGCTACATTTCATAAATATGCCAGGTGTTCCTTTTATGTGACTGTGACTTGTCTTTAATTATTAACAGTGCACACTTTTCCATAGCTTACAAAGACGCAACCAATCAAATCTATATAACTGTCAAAAGCATAAAAGGTAAGACCCGTGAAAAACAGACTTTACTGATAATTTAGTTCCATATGGGGAGTTAAATCCCAGAGGGATCCAGTTCCTACAGAAAGGGTGGCGGTCTTAGGACAGAGACCCCGGTGTCCTGTCCCCAGCCCAGACTGTTTTCTTCCGCACCCGGGAACATCCGGAGTGAGCTGGGAGAAGTTTCTCCAGGCCCGATACCAGTCTTTAACTTACAGACATTACAGAAATTGCTTTCCCGTTACATTATTTTTGGAAAAAAAGTACTTTGGTGCCATAGTTTGCGTCCATCTAGATGTCTTCGGTTCACGATCGGTGTTCTCTGGCGAGAACCGTCAAGACTTGTCATTCGGTGTGAGAGCTGGTCTGAAACGACTTACCCGAGAGCGTTGAAACGAAAGCCGACCTCGCCTCGCAGACCAGTGGGCAGAGCTGGGTCAGGCTGAAAAGTATCCTCATATGATGACCCCAACGCTGTTTGTTTAGTACTTGCCTTGTGCCAGACGCTCTCCCGAACTTCTCATGATTTGCTTCTTTAATCCCATTATGAAGCAGGCACCATGATCATCATTTTTGTTACATAAGTGAGACACTTGAGGCTTGATCTCCGCAACTTACCGCCTTAGGATGTAAATAACTTGCCCGAGACGGCCTGGCTCAGGCTGAAGGCTCGGAATCTGTCTGTCGGCTGCATCGCCCAGGCTTGACCAGTGTGCGGTTATCGTAACTCCCCGAATTTTGAATTCCCAAAGTTCATTCGCTGCGTGGTTTTTCAGAAGTTGGATACATTTTCATACTGAACCCATGTCAGGTTCCCTCAGTCCATCAAGTAGTCCAAATAATTTAGATCTATCATATTTAAAAAATTTATCTCAGTTTTTATGAGAAAATTCATTCTCTCTTGAGGAAGGAGAGGGGAAAACTGGACATGTTCTTCGGCCTCAGGTTTCACATGCTAGTCGCAGACCTGTCATCACCCCGCCCTCCCCGTCCCCAGGGACCTCGGTGGCCACTAGCATGAGGGAGGTCACATGCCTGTGGCTCCGGTCATACTGACAGAGTTGCCACTAAAGGCCACTCACCCCGCACTCTTGACTGTAATTCCTGGCCCTTCATAGACCACCCCACACACCGGTGCACCATTGCCTGGTTTGAGCACCGACCTGCCTCCTTTAACTCTAGGTAACCTGTTTCAGGTGGGTTAGCATAGACCTCCCTACGTGAACTTTCAGCCTCACTCGGGGGCCTACATTGGAATATCAGTACCTGACCTGACCTTACTTCTCACGATTCTAACCCTAGAACAAGTTGACCTTCGAGAATGGTTTCCAGATGGACCACTTGTTGCTCCTGAGGTGGGGGACCTGGATTTGGGGAGATGGGTTCAGGGCACAGCTGACAGTCGGTGTGCTCCAGGGATGGTCTGTCGTTCGGCTGGGCCTCCACGGACACCAAGTCCATTCTGCAAGCAGCTGGATTATTCTGCAATTGCCTCTGGGATTTCAAAACTTTACACAGAGATTTTAGCACGAATATGTTCCCTCGAATAGAGCTAAAAGTCAGTACAACTCGTCTCTTCCTGTTGTGTGGGCTATTCCAACATACTTAATAAGTCTCACCTTTCTTCTACTTACATGGCATTTTCTATAAGCAGTTTGACTGTCAGAAATTGTCTAATAGACACCCCTGTCTCAGGAGAGAGAGGTGCAAAGATAGAAAAGCTTATAATAAAAAAAAATAGTGTAGTTTCCACCTTGGTAGGGAGCTGTCTTTTGGCTTCATGTTCTTAAAACTGTATTTTTCTCCCTTCACTCTCAGAAAAAAAATAAGCTAATGCTAATTCTTCACCTTAATTGTCCCGTTGTTGATTTATTTACAGTTAGTCAAATGAATTCATAAACCAAAGGGCAGCGTAGTGATTTACGTGAGCAGTTTGTCATAAATCCTCACTCCTCTGTGTTTTGGGGTTTGTTGGGAAGTTTGTTTTGTCACTGGCTTTTTTTATCTGCTGCATAATCGGGATTCTGTAACTGGGATAAGTAGACCTGAGAGTGAAAGGATTTCTCTGGGCTGCTGCCAGCGATGAGCAGGGCTCACAAATAGAGTTGGGTTTCCTCGCGCCTCTGACGGTCCGTATAATTCAGTCCCTTAAGCCCCATCAGCATGCTGGGGGGGAAAGGCCCTACTATGCGCTGGGTGTGCTGCGAGGTGCTCAGTAAGTACCTGCGGAGTCACAGGAAGCAGCACCAGGAGGGCACAAGCCCGGCTGCTGGGCGTCCCTGGCAGCAGGTGTGGAGGCGGGAGCTGGGGAGGGCCGAGCTTCTCGGCCGGTCGCAGTCACACCGCGACGCGTCACAACAGCTGGCGCCCTGTGACTCAGAGCCAGCCAGCCGGCGCCGAAGCACCTCGCGCTCTGTTTCTCCCCACAGCTCCCCAGAAGAGATTTAAACCAGCATATGTCCTTCCCGATCGCCCGAACCCAGCTCTGAGCCGCCTGCTTTCGTAGTCTAACGGCCGCGTGCGAAACTGCCTGCGATATAAGGAAGTTAAATAAGTAAAGGCTAGCATTAAAATGATTTTGTAACGGATGGGGCTCCCTTTGTGTTCAATAAACCATATGCTCAGATGGAATGCCCTAGAAGAAACACAGGATTTTAAGGCTGCGTTATGGAGCGAGACTCATTCCACCGCAGCTGCTTACAGATAGGGCCACGGTGATTGCCAATTTCCATCTGAGTTCATAATTTTGATTTTTTTAAAAACATGTTTTTATTGATTTCAGAGAGAGGAAGGGAAGGGAAGAGAGAGATGGAAACAGCGATGATGTGAGTCATCGATCAGCTGCCTCCTGCACGCCCCCCGCTGGGGAGGGAGCCCGAAACACCCCGGCAGGTGCCCTGACTGGGAATCCAGCCTTGACCTCCAGGGTCATGGGTTGACGCTCAACCACTGAGCCACGCCAGCCGGGCCCGTAATTTTGATTTTAATGATCATACAGATGATGACATCTTGGGAAAATCAGTGTGGCATTCGTGAGTGAAAGTTCACAGTTGTGCGTCCCGGTTTCTGACACCAGTTCGTCTCTGTCCCTAGGACCCTCGCACACCATTCCTTGGCGAAGGCTCTTCAGCGGTGGTGACCTCCTCCGGCCGAACCCCCTACAAATTCTCGTCTCTGGACTCCCAGCTGACACCCTGCCGGGGGCCAGAGCTGCCAGGCCCCCTGGAACTGTGCCTTCTCTGCAGTCAAGGCTCTTTTCTCACCCAGGGAAAGGAAGGAAAGAAAGAAAGAAGATGCGGCTGGGCCGAGTGGAGCTTTGCCACCTCCTGCAGCTGGTGGGCCTCCTCCTGTGCTTTTCGGGGCTGAGTCAGGCGGAGCTCTCGCGGTCCAGCTCCAAGCCCTACTTCCAGGCCGGGAGGTCCCGGACCAAGCGCAGCTGGGTGTGGAACCAGTTCTTCGTGCTGGAGGAGTACATGGGCTCAGACCCCCTCTACGTCGGAAAGGTAGGGCCAGGGGCCTTCCGAAGCCATCCCCGGGAACCTGGGGCTGGATGGAGAATTGCTCGGTTTTGCTGCAGGGTTGGAAAACACGAAACTCTCGCTCCTGTGGCCTAGAGTCTGAAGTTTTAGGCCTTGGTTAGCCACTCTGAAATTATAATATTCATATTAATCATACAGAGAAGCCTGAGCTCAGGGAGCCGTGCTTATTCCCAGAAACAGATAAGACTCGGGCAGGTGCCTCATTGGCCGTGACTGTGGCACGCAGGCAAAACTGCTCCTTCTAAAATAGAGCGAGGGTTTTCAGTAATAGATGAAGAGCCAGGTGACTTTTCAGCAGCCTTCTGGGCTGTGCTGTGTAAGTGATGCCTGTGTTGACTTTATGCTTATATACCCTTTCCTGGTGCTCGCAGTTTAAAGACTGAAAAGGGAGATGATGGAGCCTATTGGCTTTAAATTATGAGCCATTCAAACCGGCTTTTCCTATGGGTGACCTGGTTTTGATGGATTTGAAAAGTTTTTCTCTTTAAAATTGCCTTTTGGTTAAAAATGAATGTGACCAGAAGTCACCTAGAAGAGACGTCAGACAGAGGTGGGCACTTTGCGGTGCGTTGGTCAGGTGGCCGAGTGGGAGCCAAATGGAGCTCACCAGTTACACAGGGTTTTCATCTGGGCGCCTTCCGAACTGAGGGGCCCGTCAGGAGCGTGTGGCCTGTCCCCTGACATGCTCATATCATGGGTCCAGTGCCCAGGGGGCTGAGGTTTCATATTTGCGAAGATTTTCCGAATTTTCTCAATTTGGTGATGAGCAGTGGTGAATCTTTTCTGCACGGAGTGCGTTTTGACAAGAAATCTATACATCTGCGTTTTTATTTTGCGCTTTGTCAGTTTTGTGTGTCCGTTCCTGATAAAGCTGATGAATTCATCTGTGAGGGAGTTTCCAACTTTGAACGATCGAGGAGGAATCTTTGCTTTTTATTTCATTGGTTATGTTTTCATTCGAACACACCTTGAGTAAGGGTGAAAAATCTATTTTTGTTGATGGGGGGGGTCTACATAAATCAAGGTAATCTGTGTTGTATTTACTCTTTTCATTGTATGCCTCTATATTTTGCAAATAGTGATGGGCATTTACTGTAAAGAAAATGATTTGAGTGAGTTCAAGGCTCCTAGGGATGTGGATTAGCACTTTTTTTTAGCCCAGTCATATTATTTTCCTACACTGAGAAAAGATATGTAAGTATACAAGTGTTTTGTGTGTATATAAGGGTTTCCCCTAAAAATGTATACACTTTTTGCTGATAGCTCAATTGATGTTTCTTTCTTCTTAGATTTAATCCATTGGAATTAATAATTATTCAAAGTGTATATACATTTTTGGGGACACTCTATATATATATTTATAGCTATTCTGCTGTTTTAGTAGCGCCATCTTATACAGTGTACATGTGCTAAATTTTTATCTCAGTTTCTATTTTCTTGTGAACAAAGTGAGAGCAATCACCATTATGCATTGTTATCGACTAGGAATGTAGCTCTTCATTTCATTCATTTTTAATGAACACTTAATAAATTCATCAGACTTTTTTCCAAAGGACAGGTTTATAACATTCAGCTGATTCAGAAAGAATTAGTAGTTATTTGGTGAAATCATACTTTTGTGAGAATGTAAAATTTTCTGAAGACAACTAAAATAGTCCCATTAATTTGGTTTTACATGGGGTTGCCTGATTTGCGATTGGAGAGGGAATTTATAGACAAGACAGATGCAAGGTCTTCAAGGAGCAATTTGTATTTGCTTGGGGAAGGGGGACAGAGAGCCTGGGTGCTTGGACTGTACCCGTGAGATGAGCCAGTGGTACTTCTGAGCTGGTGATCTGAATAAGCAGAGGTTTGGGGACAACTTTGACCTCGCTACGTTCCCTTGGGCATGGAGAATAGATGTAGCTTCTCCTTTTCTAAGTTGAGGGAGGCAGTGACTATGACCAGAAGTGTTTAAAGGACAGAGGGAACCAAACGGAAAACGTGGACATGGATACGCAGGCGCTCGTGAATCGTGACTTCTCATGACATATGCGTAACCGGTACTGGCTGGATGGCCCTACTCTTAATCGTTCTGACAAAATATGGCTACTTAGGTAGTTTGAAAAATATGAGTGATGACCTCCGGGAACTTGATAGCTTAACTGGGTCCCATAATGGATCAGTGCGGCCTGTGTGAAATTGTCTTCAGTGTTGTTGCTGACTCTGCCTCTTCCCGCTAGTTGTGTGACTTGGGGCCAGGGCTCCCTCATCTCTCAAATGGGAGTAATGATGCCTGCAGTTCAAGTCTCGGACCCGGAGTAAATGAGATCAAAATATTTGGAACATACATTCAATTAATTTTGACGTTCTGTTTATCTCTTTCACTGCAGACCAATTATAAATTAACTGAGTTATGGATAATTTATATATTATGTCTCACATTATATTCATGATCCTTCAGATGAAAGCAGCATTGTTTTATGAACTAAGTAGTATTTAAATGTACTGCAGTTAATTAGAGGAATGGTCTGTATTGTATGTTCTTACAAACTCAGCATGTCTTTCTGTTGGTATCTGGTTAGACTCTAGCAAAATAAAGTTAGGGGGTGAACGAGTCATTCCTTACCCACAGGGATTTCACATGTCAGAATTTTTTTAGACCTTTGAATTTGGAAACCATGGTAATGGCTGTTGGCCAATGAGTTAAATAAATAAGTAAAATTTGGTCATTAAGACATTAAAGATAATGAAGTCACAGGATGACTTGGGACCTTATTATTTTAGCCAGTTTCCTGGGTATATTAAACATGATAACTCAAGGCCCAAAGTAGAACGGTTTGTTGAAGGGGGGCCAGGAGCGCTTCTGGAACCTTCGCCAAGAGATGTCCAGGGCATGGACTTCGGGGCTATGTTCGAATCGGACCTTTATCACGAGCATCCCACCATTTCCTGGTGATAAACTGCGGACTCGAGAGGTATAGACTTAAGGAAAGAGTCGTTAGTTATTACTCTGATGGAGTTCTTTTTTATTGAGGTATAATTGACATCTGACATTCATTATATTAGTTTCACGTGTACAGCGTAATAATTCAGTATTTGTATATATTGCTAAGTGATCACCACAGTGAGTCAAGCACCATCCATCTCCACACATAGTTGCAGATTTTTCTTTCTTGTGATGAGAACTTTTAAGATCTACTCTCTTTGCAACTTTCAAATATGCCGACAGTATTATTAATTATAGTCGCTCTCTTTTTTTAAATATGTCTTTATGGATTTCAGAGAGAGGAAGGGAGGGGGGGAGAGAGAGAGCTGAAACATCCGCGATGAGAGAGTCATTGACTGGCTGCCTCCTGCACGCCCCCTGCTGGGGATCAAGCTCACAACCCGGGCATGTGCCCCAACCGGGAATCGAACCTTGAACCACGATCTCCTGGATCCTAGGCCGATGCTCAACCACTGAGCCGCACGGGCTGGCTGGAGCTCTCTTTAGAATAATAACCGCGCGCTGTCTCCCAGGGACTGTTTCGCCCGGACTGGCTGGTGATTCACGGCCATCACATTGAGTCTCACACCGCGCTTTTCTATGTCCAGCCTTTTCCTCACCTTGGCATTTCTCACCTAACGTCCCCCAGCTAACTGACAAATTATTTCTCCAAAGCCACCCAGTCCCTGTTCGAGGTATTAGGTGGTTTTCATCTCTCCTGACCTAATGGGCTGCTGGCCGATCGCTGTGCTCAGGCCATTACTTTCCCGAGACGTGCGCTCCCCTAGCTGTGAACGCCACTCCCGTCTCCCCTGCCACTCCCCTTTCCTCCCTGCGTGTCTGGGGACAGTCTGTTCCTGTTACCCAGTCAGCGTCAGAGTGAGATCCCTAGGCACCCAGTGTGGGAGTCTCCCGGCGCTCATGTCGGCTTGCCAAGGCGCTGGTGAGCATTCCCCCTGCATCGGATTGCACCTCTGCAGCGCCTCTCGGCTGAGCCTCTGTCCCCTGACCACTGAGCCGGGCCCGCTGTTGCAGAAGAGGCCTGTCCGCCTCTGTGTTAAACAACCGAGGTAGGAAGTCGGCTCCGTAACTGGCAAGAGCTATGTTAGATACACACAAAGAAAATAATGAATCCCAAAGATTCACCTTGTAGATTTCAGGGGGAAGCCAACAAAAGTGCCCCCTCAGTGGGTAGATTGCCTGAAGCTGGCACCTGTCTTAGAAGCAAGGAAGGGCAGTTTGTTTCTCCTACGGGTATGTAGAAATCCCAGAGGGAGCTGTGAAGCCCCTTGGGCGTGTCTTGTTACTTTGTGAGAGCTGTGAAACTCCTGGAGCCACTTGGGCATGGATCAGCTCTGTGGGGTACAAGTTAGTTCCGATCTTGAGAAGTACTTTCTGGTAGGTACTCTTAGCTCTTGCAATGCCTCAGGATAGCTCTAAGGTAGTCAGCACGCTTTCTCCACGTAAAATCAACAATTCAGTTTCTGTTTTGTTTCCTTTCGACCGCAGCAAAAATAAACTACATCTGATTTTGCCACTAAAATGCAGAAACCTACCGTTAATTTAATTTAACATTCCTCATTTTCTCCTCATAGTTATCTTAGGTAAGAAATGGAGGTTCTCAGTACCAGAGGCCTCATCAGGTGAGACTCCGTCAGTACAAGTCGGAGGAGAGGGGCTTACAGTTGTAAACCTGCACAGTCCAACCAGACTGTCTACACTGGCTCACCATTCTCTGAGTGTCTCTCTGTGTCGATCAAAATCTTTTAAAAACGCCGTCTCCTTTAGCTCCTTTGTATTATATACACTTGCCACCCATTCGGTGATGGGAAAAGCAAAAACTATAAAAAAACAACACAACACCAGGTCTGTGCTCGTCGTGTTTTTGTGTCTAGGTTGAGATTGTAAATGCAACACGGGATAAAGGAAAGCGATGCTATTGGGCCTCGATGGCAAGTGCCCGTGATTGTTTGACAAGCTCCACACTCGGCGCTGC